GAGAGGAATGAAAAGTGGATCGATCGTGTGGTATTTGTAAAATAGAAAAGCCGGAAAGCAGGAAAGGAAGCATTACTCTCCTCCCCGATGATTCTCAGAAACATCCGACAGTCATCTGTCAATATCGCATTTTCGTATATGCAAGACTTTTGCTCTAAATACAAACTGATACCAGAAAATGTTCGCTGGTGACTGTCAATCGGTTTTGAAGATAATGTTAGAGTGTGGGATGAGAATGAACTTTTAATTTGGAATCGTTTGGCATTGTTCCTAATTTAGGCTTTCCATAGTCATTGTGTTCGTGTCATTTATACTCCTCTAGAAGCTATTCACTCTAATGTAAACTTCACTGTGAGGAATTTTGGTGAAATTTCTAAGAGTGACGTGATTATAATCTCGGATGTCTATTTAGAAGATTTGTCTAGAATAGCTCAATCGATGATTAGCAACAAATGGCTGATCTGATGAATCAGTTGATGGTGATACCGTGTGGGAAAAACAATGTAATTTGAACCATCACAATGATTTGATTCACACTGACTGACATAAGCATCATTTTATACCTATCTGGATTTTGAAAAAAAGATTTGTTTCTGGATGAAAAATTGGTCGTTGACATTAATACTCTAATACAGCTTTTTTATTCTTTTGTGTGGTGGAGAAACGTTACTATCGAATATTGATCATTTCAAATATTTAAGAAATCTAGAATCCGAAAATCGACTAGTAGATTTATTAATTTGACACGGGATGACCGGCTAGCCAGTACTGCTTGCCGTAACATTGGGCAGCACTATAGGTGTTTTGAGGTATGGTGCGCTGTTGACGTTGTTCCGATTCTTCTATCTTCATCATGTTATCCTTACTTGATACTTGATTTTCTTGCCTAGAGCGAGATGAGACTGAAAAAAGTTGGAAGAGATAGGGAAACTGGTTAATCTGAAAATTCAGAAAACCACATAACATTCAAACCAATTTACCGTTCATGGTATTATCAAAAGAATAGCTTGACACATTGAGCTTCGAAAAATCCGCATTCTCCTACAAAGTTAAACAAATACAGCATAACATGCATCTCAACAGAAATAGAAATGACCAATCCTTGAAGTCTACCAACTGATCTCTAGCTTTATGAAATCTATTCTGCAATAGTTATTTTGCCATTATTGAAGAGGCACTTCAGCTGAATTGAACTACAAAGTGACTACGTGGAACGGTCTGAACTTTACAACAAATTCATAAGATTATCTTTTTCAAATTGAAAGAATCGTTTCAAAAACAATACGGAGTGAAGTAAATCGGTCAGCGCAGCAATGTAATCAATAGCAGCCCTCAGAATTTTCAATTTCGACACGCGTTTTGTGTTGGAGCGTATTGCCGGGAGGTGAAATTTCAATGCAACAAAAGCCTGCAATAAAATATTTCCTAAATAATCCAATTTAACTCGATTCATAAATTCCTGCTTTTACTCATCAATTCCATTTATACTCCCTAGAAAGTCTTTATCGTGTAATAGAGAGGAAAGCACTGGACAAATATCCTTCAGTGTTCTAAGATAGAAAAATAAAAAGTTGTTATGGATAATTAAAAGTATTTACAATACGACCAATATACTCTGACTGATCAGAACTAATATTTTCTTCAGCAAATAGAAGAGGTTCCTCATCTCGCGTCGTTTGACAGAAAGAATCATTGTAGAGTCTTCGGGATAAGAAGAGAAAGTCGTTTTATAGAAAGTCATAGTGTACAAAAAACAAGCGACTCTATTGAAAAATTGACCATAAACTTCAAATTTAAACCCAAAAGCAATGCTTTAGTTTAATATACTTGTAATATGCAAATTATACCTGATTAACAGCATGAACCCGTGTTCGTTCTCGAGCATTCCGTTTTGCAACCATAAATGGTGGACGTTCCCAAGCACGCTTTAATACTTTCCGCGGTCCTTTTTCAATTTGTAATGTAGTCGCAATATGCATTTGTGACCAACACTGAAGTGAAAATATAATACGACGTTTTGATCACCACAAATTTATCACTTCAAAGATTTTTGAAGAGGAATCAAAGAAGCAAAGTTGTCAAAAGATAACTTTTGAACACAAGTTGAATGAATTCCTTCCCTTGTAGGCAGTCTTTAAAAATACTAAAGAAAATTGTTTGCTTTTTCTGTTTCTTCAATGTACTAAATTTCATTCCACTTTTAGGTAATCATTTATAATTTCCGCACGCTTCTGAATTGTTGGAGTTCAATTCTTGTAGTTCAAGAAAATAAAATAATCTTTTCATAGAGCAAATTGTTTGATAAGTAAGAAATGGGAATAAATAATGTTTTGCATGTAAGGCGGTATATTTACCTTTGTTGATTAAACAGGTGTGTTAATAGAATTCTTAATGGTCATTGCTTAAATAATTAATGGATTTCAGTCGTTTCTTCCGTTTTTGTTCTTAATGGATTAAATTCTCTCGAAGCATTTGTCATACATAGAAATGGTTGACTTTAGGATGCAAACCATAGTCATACAAGAAAATGAAAAACCGGTGATACTCTCTGATGAAACTATTTGAATGCTTAATGGACAATGTTTCAGCTAGACAAAGTTGAAAATTTTTAATTTGTTTAAATGGTCCAGAAATGTATGATATGCCATTATTTTATGATTGGATCAGAAAATTTCACCTGAGATAACAATATATTTTTAAAGTCCATCAATTCAACAAATTTGAAAAGTTATGGATTATTGAATGATCATTGTTGATCTCACAAGTGAATGACTTTCCAAGTATGGACTGTGATAATATCATGTTCTCTTCTTCTCATTGATATAAACTATTAACGACATATCTTATCTGTCAATAGCTGTAGCCCATAAAAATGCGGTAATTGTAGGCATTGGCAATGGCGGAAGTATAAGGTGGATTTTTGAAATTCTTTTGTAGAAGTTCGGGTTCGAGTTGTTTGTATTTATGAATTGGGTCTGCTAAATGTTCATAGGAATATGTTTGGAACAAAAACTTTTATGCATTATGTGGTAACAACTGATAAAAAGCAAAGAGTTAAGTTCGAGTTAGTACGTTTTCAAGTAATTCGATGCTTTAAAATTTTTTGTATTAGAAGAATGGATGTAATAGAAGTAAACGGAACGAATGAATCGGAAAGAATAGAAGCATTTTTGAATGCAACGTATATGGCTGATTATAGGACAATTAGTAATAATTTAGCTTATGGATTATCAGCAGATGCTATGG